ACGGCCGCGGCCATGAGCCTGGCAACCACGTTGCTCCTGAGCCAGAGCCATCGCGAGGATTCTTCGAGATCTCTGCATAAAACATGCATTTCTGGGCCAGGTGCTGGCTGGCGAGGAAGGCTCGACCCTTGGAGTCGAAGGAGAGGTTGAAACACCTCGCGAGGTCGGGCGCTGGTCTGGCTCAGGGACTCCGCTGAGACTCTGCTGAGATCCCGGCACTCTCATCGCCAGGAAGGCGACCTCTGCACGGTGCTTTCGCTCGAGCAGCTCGAGTCGCCAAAGGTTCGGGGACTCGGGGCCTCCGTCGCCGGGTGGCCCAAGAGCTCGGCCAGGCGCTGGAAGACCTCCTCTTTCAAGAGCTGATCCTCACAGAAGAGAGCCACAGGCCTCTTCCGCATCTACTGTACGCCGTCTACGCTCAGAGGGGCAACCTTGTTCTGCTCGAAGATGGTGAGCTTGTGCAACATGCTCAGAGTGCTCAGGAGCAGATCCTTCAACCAAGGCACCGCTTCGAAGTTTTCGCACGAATCCATCGCCACTTCTCTGCTCTTGCGGTCTGGTCCTCATGCTGTCTGCCTAGCATCGGCACCAGCATTTGGCAGAGCTTCTGCTTCACGAATTTCAGCTCCTGAGCAGTATCCTGCAGCCGGATGGAGTTCAAGAATGACACTATCACTAGCATCGGACTCATGGCAGCATGAGACTATAGTGTTCCAGTCCTCCGACATTGCACGGAGGACCAAAAGGCAAATCTGCAGCAAGTGGTCCTGGCAAACAGTGTGGTGTACGCAGAGGGGAACGAAAGCTTGGTTGCTCTTTGCCTGTCGTTCAAGGCGCGCCCGACATTTGCCGAGGGTGCGCTGCAGTCGGGTGCGCCTGGCTTGCTCTGGCAAAGGGACGTTTCCGGAAGGCTCGGCTGTCAGGCCCCGACTCATCAGGCAGCTGTGAACTCGCCTTACAAAAGACGGGGCTCGAGCACACTTCACCCTGATGCCGCTGGGGGTCGCACCATCTGCTCCTGTGTCTGCACCAATTCGTTCTTCATGACATTGCGCCGCTTGCTCTCATACCTAGGCTCGGAAGTTAGGTTGTTTGTAGCAATCCAGAATCCAGAAAGTACGCAAATGACCCGCCGCCTTAGCTGTTCGCCCTGAATTCGGCTGCCCTTCTCCCGTGACTCTGCCAGCCCGGTGGCGGCAACGCTGGCAGCTGGGGCTGTGGCTCGAGAACACGCATGGTCACCTCCCCGCACTGGTGCCGCTTTAGGGCGACGTGGAAGCAGGAGAAGTTCGCAAGGATTAGGAAGATGCCTCCGAGAGCAGACAGCGGCGAGCAATGTGTGTCTCGTTGCGTGTGCGTGACATAAACAAATGAATAAACATATACATATTTACATATATACATATGGTACCCCCCCCCATTGACCTACCCTTTTTGGTCTTTTTGAAAGGCAAGGGTGGGTCGGGGCAGGGTGTACCCGAATGGAGCGGCGTTCCCAAAGACCTAGTTTCTTAAAAGACTCAATCTTTCGGAGGTCGAGGGAGACTGTTGGAACTCTGGGCGCTGCAAAACACTGAGAGGCCTCAATCTTTTGGAATCCCGAACCTCAGAAAAATTGAGGCCTCTCAGTGTTTTGCAGCTTCCAGATTCCAAAACACTGAGAGGCCTCAATCTTTTTATGATTTTGAAGCCAAAACGCTGGGAGGCCCCAAAAGACTCAAAAGACTCAATCTTTTGGAGGTCTTGGGAAACTATAACCAAAATCAGAAAAATTGAGGCCTCTCAGTGTTTTGCAGCTTCCAGATTCCAAAACACTGAGAGGCCTCAATCTTTTGGAATCCCGAACCTCAGAAAAATTGAGGCCTCTCAGTGTTTTGCAGCTTCCAGATTCCAAAACATTGAGAGGCCTCAATCTTTTGGAATCCCGAACCTCAGAAAAATTGAGGCCTCTCAGTGTTTTGCAGCTTCCAGATTCCAAAACACTGAGAGGCCTCAATCTTTTGGAATCCCGAACCTCAGAAAAATTGAGGCCTCTCAGTGTTTTGCAGCTTCCAGATTCCAAAACACTGAGAGGCCTCAATCTTTTGGAATCCCGAACCTCAGAAAAATTGAGGCCTCTCAGTGTTTTGCAGCTTCCAGATTCCAAAACACTGAGAGGCCTCAATCTTTTGGAATCCCGAACCTCAGAAAAATTGAGGCCTCTCAGTGTTTTGCAGCTTCCAGATTCCAAAACAATGAGAGGCCTCAATCTTATTGATTTTAAGGCTAGTTTCCCAAGACCTCCAAAAGATTGAGTCTTTTGAGTCTTTTGGGGCCTCCCAGCGTTTTGGCTTCAACATCATAAAAAGATTGAGGCCTCTCAGTGTTTTGGAGCTCCCACAGTCCCAAAGTGCTGAGAGGCCTCAATCTTTTTGAGTCTTGAATCTGAAAAAGATTGGGGCCGCTCCAGGTTTTGCAGCTCTCACAGTTCCAAAGTGCTGAGAGGCCTCAATCTTTTGGAGTCTTGAACTTGGGGCCGAGACTATCTGGCCACATTAGTTTTCTGCTTCTGCTGCCATTTTTTTTTGTTTGTTTGGGGCCCTGGGCCCTGTTACTCTGTTACTCTCATACTCTTATACTCTATGACTCTATTACTCTATTACCCTATGACTCTATTACTCTCTTACTCCAAAAGCTCTATTACTCTATTACTCTAGTACTCTGTCTATTACTCTGTTACTCTATTACTCTATTACTCTATGACCCTATTGCTCTTATACTCTCACTCTATTACTCTATTACTCTATTACTCGATTACTCAATTACTCGATTACTCTATTACTCTATTACTCTATTACTCTATTACTCTAATACTCTATTACTCTACTACTCCACTAACTCTATTTATTACTCTATTACTCTATCTACTTTATTTCCTCTATGACTCTATGACTCTATTACTCTGCTACTACTACTACTACTACTACTACTACTACTACTACTACTACTACTACTCGTACTACTAATACTGCTATTGCTACTGTTGCTGGTACTGCTTTACTATTACCATGCAGCACTATTACTATTACCATTACTATTACTATTACCATTACCAATGCATAAAGTCATGGAGCAAAGCCTGCGGGTCACGCGCTTCGCGCGCACTGTTTCTTGTACTATTACTCTTTCTTTATTACTCTATTGCTCTATTGCTCTATTGCTCTATGGCTCTATTGCTTTATTGCTTTGTGACTTTATTACTCTATTAGTCTCTTCGTCTTTTAGTCTGTTTAGTTTGTTTAGTCGATTAGTCGATTAGTCGATTAGTCTATTAGTCTATTAGTCTATTAGTCTATTAGTCTATTAGTCTATTAGTCTATTAGTCTATTAGTCTACTAGTCTAGTCGTCTATTCGTCTATTAGTCTATTAGTCTACTAGTTTATTCTGTCTATTAGTTTATTCGTCTATTCGTCTATTAGTCTATGACTGTATTACTCTATTACTCTTTACTATTACCAGTACTAGTACTATCTATAACAAACACGCGAAAACAAGCCACAGGTGCAAAAAAATAATGGCGACAAAAATAGGCCCTCCCTTGTCCATGCATCATTGCCACTCATTGCTCCTGAGACCCCCAACAAAGGCAGGTCAATGGGGGGGGGGTAGCATACATATATACATACATATTGCAAATATTGCACATTACGTTTATGCGCACATGCCTGCTGGGGACTACTTAGCTCAAAGCCTGTGATGGCCACAGCCAGCTCGTAGCTGCGCTTGGCATTTTCGCGAAGCTCCCGACTCAGCACCTCGAGTGCCAAGAAGCAAGGATCGAGAGCGTTCGTGGAGCGCTTTTTCGAATCCCTTCACAGTTCCAGGGAGAATACCCCCAGAAGAGTGGGGTGCTCCGTCATCTGGTCTAGGATACGGACCTGCCCCCGAAACGCTGCTGTCTCAAGTCCAAGTCCGCTTAGGGATCTCTGTGCCTCCGTGCAGAGTCTGAGGAGCCTTTGAGCACCTCGGACCTTCATGTCCATGTGCTCCTGCGACAGACGACGACGCACGTCTACGATCGTCTACGACTTTCGTTTCTGATGTCGGGCTCCTCGTAGAGCTCCTCCACGTATTCGTCCAGGTTGCGGACCTCAGAAGGCATTCTGAGCCGATTCCGAGATGCTCTGAGATGTTGAGGTTTGCATGCGATTTGCCTCCCCGCTTACTGCCTGTCTTTGTCGTCATCATCTAGATCTATCCAGTTCGCCAAGTGAAAAGCAGTCAGCCCTTCTGAGTTTCTACCTGCAAACCAAAATCTCTTCACCAATTCGATCATTACATCATTCGTCCCATGGTGGTCTGCTGCGGCAGTTCTTTTGGTGGCCGGGGTCGACGCGGATGCACTAGGCAGCAGGTCCTCGAGCCTGCGCGGAATACGCTCACTACGCCCTTGGCCGACTCAGCGTGAAATGTTCTGAGTCATCGGGCTGTGCAGGTAGCACGGAGTCGCCACCGGAAGTCCGATTCGTGGAGGACTGCGTGGCACCTCTTGCGAGCCGCAGGGGAAAGTCCTGCTGAAGCCAAAACTATATGCGCCTGCACCGAAATCCTTGCTAAATGGCCTCCAGCTTGGCAGAAATTCGCAGCAAAGCTTCGGGTGCAGGTCAGTCTGAGCTTCTTGCGCATCTGAGGTTTGTAGTCCGTAAAGCTTCTTGAGCACCTGCCGCTGCGAGAAGCAACACCAAATATCGGCGTGAGCGAGTTCAGCACAAGAGCAATGTTTCAAGGTGCAGTCGCAGGCTTTTCTCCCAGTCTGTGTGCTAGCTGCAGTTGAAGTCGCGCGCACCATTTGGAATGAATTTGCTTCAGCACTGTTGATCCAGAGGGCAGACTCCAGTTTCCTCTATGCTTCCACACTGCAATGAAGATGAGACCAGTGCCGAAAAACAGGGAAAGCGGCGCTGCCGAATTACTCCTGCATGTTTCACGAAGCTGCAAACTTACAGACTCACAGATGGCCTCAGCCCAAGAGCACGGTGGCGGCCTCAGTCATCAGTAATGCAAAAGACTGAAGTAAGTAAAACCAGCTCCGCTCTTACGACTTGAAAGATATGAGTCATCAAAGCCTGCGCGCATGACTACCAGAATTTACTGCGCTTGAGGCTGTCTTGGTCCGTTGCGCCACCGGGTGGGGCACGGATGCTGCGTGCGGGCGTGGGCAGATCCTGGGAAGTGGCCATGTTTTCTGGGGAAGCTGGGGGCAGCCAAATGGCAACTCGAATATGGGTCCTGCTTGAGCTGCTTGACCTCGAGCTTTGTGTCGGTGGGATCCTGTCGAGACTCACCTCTCGAGGGAGGGGAGCCAGGGAGCATGCAATGCCGGAAACCAACACAGTGGAGGTCCTCTCGGATCTTCCACTCGCTGGCAGTTCCCAGCACCACAGAGGCCAACCCTGCATGGCTTTGATCCGTTGGTTTCTGTCGGCGGACAGCTTCGGACGCTGGCGCCTCCCGGTGGGACCCGCGAAGAAGCTGGTGCGAGTGCCTGGGCAGAAGGACACTGCTATTGTCTGCTTTCTGACCACTTTTTCCTGCCTCCCCCTCAGGCTGATCTTCGCTCACCACTGCCTGAAAACTCGAGAGTGCTCCCAAACGTGCAATCACTGCATCATCTCAACCTCCGGAGGATCCATCTCGCGCGCTGGGCTGACTGCCGCTAGTGCGTCCTTCTCCTCCAGTGGAAGCACTCTATAGCCTATTAAGGCCCGCTCGTTCTAAGAGCCCCGAAGCGGGTCCCTGTGCGGCCTCGGACACGTCGCAATCCGGAGCCGCCGCTTCCAGCGGCTGTCCCAGGGCTTTGGAGGAGACCTGCCACTCACCTGCCAAGTTGCAGCACGCGGGGTTTTCCAGTGCTGGGAAGCTCGGTGCGCAACAGCTCTGAGTCGGCGGCTGGTGTCTGTCCCGAAGCAGATGCTGCTGTTTCCACCAGCGGTAACCCGATTTGCGGAATCTTGAAGCTCCAAGATCTCAGCGCCCAGGACGATGTGATCCTTTCCACCGACTGGGCGGGTCTCGGCCCCGGTGGAGGAGCAGGATCGCAAGAAAGTGCTCTTCCCTGCAGCTGGCCGAGAGCCGAGGGTCTCCGTTTCTTCATGTGCCTTTGGCTCGCAGTGCTCGGTGGCGGTGTACATTCCCAAACACAGAGTGGACTTGCCCCCCGGTGGAGCTGAAAGCATTGTTGTGGGCCGCTCGGTCAGGACGTTTCCGGAGTTCTGGTGTGCACCACATGCAAAAGCGTTGGATGACACCGGAGCGGCGGCTGTGTCCATTCCCAAGCAGATGGTGGATTTGCCACCTTGCATGTTTGCAGCGTCAACAATGCTAGATAAGCCGCGAATAGAATACATGTCGGCTACAATTAAAACCCACAGATCCTCCGCCTGGTGGTGCCAGGGTCTCGCGCTTCGGGACTTCTTGAATGTTGTCCATACCCAGGCAGATTGTGGATTTGCCGCCTGCAGCCGCACACACATTTCTAGGTGTCACATAGCACGGAACACGCAAGGCTCGAGTCCTGGAGGAAGCATCGATCGGGAGGTAGTCGCTTCTGCAGTGGCCTTGGCCGTGTTTGTGGGAACTGTCCAGCCCCGGAGCTACGACCAGGCGAGGCAAGCGACTTGAGTGCTTTCCTTCTCCGTCAAGCCCAAGCAGAGTGTGGACCTGGCATGGCTTTGGTGACATGAATCTGCATGAGTGAGTGAGTGCAGAAGACCAAGCACCAGGGACGCACGCGAGTGCATGCACGGATGGGAGTCACGATAAACGAGGCCGGCGCACGCTCCTCCAGCTGTCTGACGCACCTCTGCCATGATTGATAACCTCGAAACGAACACGCCCATCTAAAGGAAGAAGACAGTCCTCGTGTCACATTTGTCCTTCACTCTCCTGGGATCCGCACAGCCACGTGTCGCAGAACTAGCTCGCAAGGATTTGCAACGAGCTGCTTGATCCCCAAAACGTTAAGATCGAAAATCTGGCAAACGATCCCAAGCTTGAACACGGTGCACGAATACTCCCTGTGCAGCATTGTGCAGCATTCCTGGATGGCACATGCCACATGACGACATCAAACGGGAACTGTGCAACAGCCTTCGCCACTTGCGAAGTCTTGCTCTCAGGGATGTAGCGACACCTCAGAGGAGCTGCTATTGCATGTGAATATGGGGGCAACCCAGGGAAGAATCTTGCCAAGTCGCTTCTCGACAATCTCCTGTGCCAGTGCAGGTAGATCCTCTTCACGGAGACCTGCAAGCAGTTCGCCGGCCCGACTGCTCCAGCAGAACACTGGGCAATGACGAGGCCGGTGGTGCCTCGCATGGCTTCGCCAATTGGCACCTCGCGCTTGTCTGGCATCTTCTCCACCTGGCGGGTGGGTCCCATGCATGGCACACGCGCGTGAGAGTGGCGGAGGGGCTTCAGAAGACTCGGCGGCTCGGCATTGATGGGCATGCCATCCTGCAAGTTCCGTGGCTGAGTCTTAGGGGCAGCGCGGCAGCCGGGGGCCGGGGGGGGGTCCTCATCCAAGTGGGTGATCTCGGATGTGAAATGGACCACCAAAGCATCGCCATCAGGACTGGCTTCAATCTTGCCGGGCCTGGAGGTTCAAAATCGAGTCCTTGTTTTCTCAGGGCGACCCGAAGACCCCGCTAGGACGGCCTGATGTGCTTCTTGAAGGGCATCACGCGAAGCCTGGCCGAGTCCATCGGAAGCATGATCTTGGATTTTATGTGGGATCTGGGAGCCCCAGCCCAGTCAATGCAGCTGCTGGTTACCAGCGACAGCCGTCATTGGCAAGCTGTACATGGCGCCCTTCTCACCCACCAAATTCTACGGTCTCCCGATGTCTCCCGAGTTGCCGGGGGAAGGATAATTCCCACTGAACCTGGCGAGAGTCTTCGAGTTTCCGGCTTGCAGATATTGGGGGATGCTAGCAGGTATATACATTCCCATTTCGCTACTCATTTCGCTAGCTCCAGAGAAGCTCCGATGGTCCTTTCCCCGGCTCCTCCAAACCTCTGCTGAAGCCATTCGGATTCGGATCACGGCATTTTCTCAGGTAGGCTCACACCACGCTTTGGGGCAGCGAAGGCTGATTTCGTGAGGAGTTGCCCTCGCATGTTTCTTGCTTTTGGAGCTCGAAAATGGCAGCCAGTCCGGTCACTTCTTCGTACGCGGAGTATTGAACCTTCCCAGCCCCAGTGCAAGGCAGTGACTTCTCTTGCCCTGAGGCCCTATCGGCCCTTCGAGTCTGAGGCTGCCGCCCGACGGCTTTTTTCTTTGCCTTGCCTTTCTTTGCGGTCTTCAGCGGTAGCAACAGCTCTCCATCGGGGTCCTGCGAATCACTTGGACTCTCTCGGGCTTGCCGCACCGCAAACAACTGGCGCAAGCAGTCCCGCAGCCGGCGGCTCTTCAAGATCGGAGCCTCAGGAGGCAAAACGCTTGAAAGTTGATCCGGCTTTGGTGCAAAGAGCTCCGAAGTGCCTCTGCTGGGAGCGCCTTTATCTCGTCTGGGACATAAACCTTGTGGTCAAGCACCCTGTGTTCGCCAGCACAGCACGGCAGTGCGCAGTCGGAAGCACTTTTGCAAATCCTTCAGCTGTGTCGGAGCGAAGATCTGGTGAAACGGCTCCCTTTGGAAGCTGGGATGGAACCCAAGTTGCATGTGTCTCGATGGGTTGCGAGAAAAAGGATGTGAACGCACACTTACGTTTCGGTAAGCTCATGGCAAGCGCTGCAGTATATGTATGCATGCAAAAATTAAATGCATATGTAGCATAAATGCAGGGGTAACAGCAACTACAGTCTATGCAAATACCTAACCAAAACAGGCGCGCACCTATCTCATGCATAAGATTTGCAGCAAATTGTGGCTGCAACAACCAGAATGGTCAGAGCGACAATAGTAGCAAAATCACAACACAACGATGATGGTTAAACGCACTGTGAGTTATTATGATGAGTCAGTAGCTGCAACAACTCAATAACATAAACGCGCACGAGTGCATATCAGAGTTCTGCTTTAAGTTTGCAGATGCATGCTTTTATTGGTTTAGGTCTGTGTAGTTGAAGGACTCTGTTGATGCTTTCGTAAACGACTCGACTCGTCAGGATGGCTGATATAGGCCTCATCTCGCTGCTTCTCGCTTGGAAAACCTGGAAGGCCGAAGGCCTCAGGCGCAGCGGCGGCCTGCAAGGCCCGGTCCGGATGGTCACTCGGTAGCTTCAAACCAGAGGCCTCAGCTGGGCGAGTGAAAGGCAAGGCGGCACGGCGTCAAGGCCAGCCCGTTTGGGAGTTCTTCGTACCCCGACACTCTGTTTCGTTCGTCCTCGCCTCGGTCGCATCGCGCTGATGGAGCAGCAGCCCTCGGGAGTGAAGACCGAGGGCCCATTTGAAGCCTTCACCTGCAGATAAAAGAAGGAGCAAAGAGTGCCTTGGAGTCCCCTTGAAGTTTGGAGCAGAGGATCTGGCCTCGACATTGCGGAACCTGAGCATTTGTTCCATAAGGGCCTGCTGCTTTGTCAGGAAGCTTTCTAACATCGACGATTGTCTGCTGAGCCAGCGCTCCAGAATCTCGACCTGCTTTGGGTCCGCAAAGTGCTCACCTCCGTGATGGCCCTGGCCTTGCGCGCCGGGGTCATGGCCGTGGCCGTGGCCTCCCTGGAAACCCTGAGCTTTTGCACTTTGCGGATTTTGGTTCGGCCCGTTCGCCGGACCGTTCGCGTCGCCTGCAGTGTCCGTGGCCTTCTCCGGCCCGTGCTGCCGTCCGGGCGAGTCCAGATTGGCGGTGCTGTGGAGGTGCTGCTTCAAGCTCACCCGCCGACCCGAGGCGTTCCGCAATTGCTCGAAGCCATAGCTGACACTTTCCTTCGTCCTGGGAACCTGCCATGCCCCCGGGTCGGCGAGTAGCAGGATATGGTGTCGGAATTGCTCGTGAGTCTCCGCTGCCGGTAGATCGTTCGTGTCCTCCCCGAAAGGATTCTCCAGCTCCACCCCGATGATGTTCCTTGGAGCCCACAGAAGCGACTGAGAGGTTTACACTACGCTTGTCTCATGCTAAACACTACTACAAGTCAATACCAGTAACTGAGCAAACCTTTGCCGAGGAAGCAGGAGCAGAGATATGCCCCGCCCGTCCCGAGAACAAACACGGACTCAGCTCGAAGGAGTAGCCCCTTTTCCATCGCCATCGTTATGACCGTCTGCGGTTGTGTTTACGGTCGCAGCGCTCGTTACTAAAGCAGCAGTCGCGACGCCGGTCGCAAGAGCAGCAGTTTGATGGCGGGACACAAAAGCCGCTCAACAGTGCGATTGTTCATGGACCTTCTAGGGCCTGGAATTCTTCAACTCAAGAAGCAAAATCTGCCAAGTGCAATGAGGCTCAGGGACATGACGCACACGATCGAGATGTAGGTCAGGAGGGCTGATGCCCAAACACTGCTAGTGTACTTCAACATGATGATGGGGCTCAGAAACAAGTGAAGCACCTTGCGAGCCCCACATAGCAACTCCCGATCACTTGAGACCCAGAGGGAGGGGGGACTTACAGGACAGCTTGCTGCAGTAAATCTATAGAACCATTCCGCCAACTCGGTGGCCAAACCGAAATCCAATTCCCAAAATCTCAACCCCAGTAAAATCCGTTTCCCAAAATCCTATTCCCCAAACCCCGTCGGTTATTCCTCAGCCCAACATCGCAACAAAAACCTTGCCCCATAAATCACCGTTTTACCTCAGCCCAAAATCCCAGCTGCAAAATCCGCATCCCAAATCCTTACCACGCTTGCCCATAAGCCCCAGGTTAGCCTTAAGGCAGAACAAGCTCTCAGGGCCATTGAAGCGCAAGGCTCTCCTGGGAGAGCTTTCGCTCAACTCCGCGGGCCGAGGTGCTGAGAGAAAGAGACTGAGCTGGGCGTAGGGAAAGGGGAACGGCCACATGGAGATCATCTGTGCGTTGTGGAATTGAGCCATTCCAGCGCCGATCTCCTGGTAGGCCCGCGTGAGAATCGGCGGAGGGACGTCCAACAAACCGCCTCAGAAGTCCAGAACTTGCTTTTGGCGACTTTGTGATCGCGTTAACGTGTGCGTGTCTATCCGTCCTCAGCCTGCGTTTAGGATCGACAGCTTAATTACAGGTTCAGGCAGGAACGTTATCATTGCCATGCGCTTCTCCATCACGATGCAGTCTAAGTCCATGCCTCCTGAGGCCTCGGCTCTGGATGCCTTGTACGATCAAGTATTTGATCCAGATGAACACCTGAGCTTGTAAGGCTGTGTTTGGGCCACGCAGAACAGAAGGGTCAATCGGAAACAGCCCGGCTTGGGATTCAGCATATTGGATCTGCATAGAAATCGGATTCTCCAGCGTGTTCGCTCCGTCTGGCTGTTCGAGGAGCTTGAGGTCTTCCGGCAGGAATGCCTGGAACATATCTTAGCGACCCTTACTCCGCTGCAGACCTAAGACCATGAATCACGTGCCTCGATGTCTAACAGCTTGAAGTGATCTCCCTGCCCACAGAGTACATGTTGTTTCCACGGAGCGACTTGTCGCGGGATCCGGGCACAGTGATATCAAAGACTGGGGTCGTTTGCAATGCTTCTTGCCGATAGCTGACAAACCCGGCTCCCGGTGGCCTTGTTGCACAGATCTTCCATGGCACAGGCATGCATCAGGCAAAACCTCAACGCACAGGAAGAACTCATGACGTGAGCACTGCACGGATCGTCTGGTCTGGTTGCAGAAGCAGAGTATGCCGAGAATCAATCGGACCATGACGCCCTCAAACTGCGCCTTTTCTCCTGGTTACAATGGAACAGTGAACAAGCAAACAGTGCAGACGGTGCACCGAGGGCACGGCTGTCAGATTTGTGAGATGCTTTGCTGAAAGAGAGCAGGCTGCCGCAAGCGTCGATCCATTCCTCAAGGCCACAAGAACGCCAAAAGGATGGCTGCTGTACACGTGCATATATACTTATATTGAGCAAGTACATCATCTATAAACGAAAAATACAATCAACACATATGACAAGTTCATGTTAGATTCTGCTAGATCGCATAATACTAGCATAGGATACGACAGGACACTATACTATAAACATGTGATATAACATACCTCACATATATATATATATATATATATATGTGGCATGGACCTTTAGGGTCTATTTGGCAATCCTGCTGGGCTTTGTACTTAAACTGCAACAACACCACGGCGACAAGGACGACGACGACTCGGTTTAGCACGACGACGACTGGGTTCAGCACGGCGACGACAAGGTCTGGCACGACGGTTACATCGGGAGGCCGAAGCGTGTACAGTGTAAAGGTCTCGACAGGAGTTTACGGGTCTAGGGTCTTAGCTCCTAACTATGGTTTACCGGGGTCAGTATACTATGGAAGATCTAAGGTTTGGAGTTTATGAGGATTTAGATGGTTTTACGCTCTCACAACTCGGGCATGCCAGGCGACGTTCTCCGTGCTGGTTTTAGGGTCTATCACAATGTCCTCCCGTCCCTCTCGCGCCGGGAACCATCAAGAATCTGTCTTGTGTATCACTCGTCCTGTTTCTTTCTCTCACCGTTCCTCTTCCTGCCTATCCACTCTGCCGTTTGTCAAGAAGACACAGAAATTGAAGTCATGACAGAGGAATAGGCATGAAGATGGACGAAGTGAACTCTTCATTCTCTCGTCTCTCCCTTCTCTCCTTCCTTTGATTGATCCTTTTTCTGTTTCTTTTCTTGTCGCCTTCTGCTTTCAATGACAGGGGTAACACGAGGGAGGTCTCGCTTCCGCCTCTCTCTCTCTCTCTCTCTCTCTTTTTCTCGCTCTGTCTTCCTCTCTGCCGTGTCTCGCTCTCTCATCTCTTCTGTCCCCTCTTTCCTTGCTCCGTTGCTGGAAGGAATCGAAAACAGAAGCGAAGACATAAGATGGAGGAAGATGGTTGGGAGAAGGAAGGTGGATTCCTCCCTCACTCGGCTCTTTGATTTTTTGGCCCTTGCCTTCTTTTCTCTGCTCCTATCCTTCTTCACAATTAGAAGGAGAAGCGACAAGAACGGAGAGCTCAGGGAGAGCAAGTGATACTGTTCCTCATAATCTCCTCCTTCCTCGTGTTCATTGCGTTGTCCATCTCCCCCTCGCTCTCTCTCTCTCTCTCTCTCTCTCTCTCTCTTTCTCTCTCTCTCTCTCTCTCTCTCTCTCTCTCGCTCTCTCTCTCTCTCCCTCCATCCTTTCCTCTCTACTTCTGCACATTTACTTTTCCACTTCTCTCGCCTGCTACATTATGCTTGCTTTGATACTTATCTTTAACTTTCTCTCACTCTCTTTGTCCCATCGCTTGCCCTGTTCCTTCTCCTCCTCCCTTCCCTGCCTCCCGTCCTTCTCCCCTTATCACTCAGAAGGAAGAAGGAAGACTCACAAGGAGAAAGACAAGGGAGTAAGAAAACAGACAAAACAAACGGAGAGATAATCCGAGAAAGGAGCCATAAGGGACGAAATACAGAAACAAAGAGAGAAACTAAGGGGGAAAGATAATCAAAAAGAGAGACAGAAAGAGGAGGCGATGCATAAAGCAGCCGACAGTGCCTTGACCTCCACGTCTATTCATTCTTTGTTCTTGTCCTATCACACTGTCTCATTGGTGATAAACCAGGAAGAGCTTGTGGAGGGAGACGAGGAAGAAGTGTTCTCCTCTTCACTCACCTTGTGCCCTTCCTCTCCCACCGCTCGCCCGCTCTCCTTTCTTTGATTTTCTTGTCTGGCGGAAAAGTGGGAACCAGGAAGGAAAGTGGAGAAGGGAAAAGACGAGATTGAGAAATGACAGAAAGAAGAGAGATACAGAGAGAGCGAGGGAGAGCTTCAAGCCCAGCAGAGGAAGAAGAGAGAGGAAGATAAGGGAAGGGGCAAGGGGTGGCCAGAAGAAGCGTAAGCCAAAGCTACGTATTGAAAGGGCGGAAGCCCCTTTCTCCTCTTCTTCCTCTTTGCTCTCTTATTTTTCTCTTAGCGCAGGGCATGCATGGAGCTAGGAAAGGGAAGGGGTCAAAGCGGATGAGAGAAAGTAACGGAGAGAGCTGTTCTTCGTCCCTTTCACCTCCTCCTCTCATTCTTCTGATGCTTACTCATGTCAGAAGGGTTTGGAAAGGAGTGAAGGCTAGGGCATGGACTGAAGCGAGGCAATAGGTGAAAGTGGATAAGAGAAAGTCATAGACAGAGAGTGCGGGAAGTCGAGTGCGAAAGAAAGAGAAACGAGGAAGACTAGGAAGAAGGACACAGAAGAGGAAGCCAGAGAGTACCAGTGTTGCCGTATCTCAAAGGATTCCGGGCCTCGCGAGGGCTTTGAGGAGGCTTGTAGGCGCCTTCAGACACTTCCACAACTTTCTGGAAGCCACCAACTTCCTCCCTAAGGGGGCCTCCCGAGGACATGAACACCAAACCGAGTATAAAGAAAGCAGGGGGATGTAGAGAAGCAGAGTGTGGTAAGAAGGAGCAAGGAGAATCAGTTCGCGTCTCCTCCTCTTTTCCTTTTTGAATGACCAGAGGAAAGAAAAGGATAAGGAGGAAAGGCTCTGCGAAGACATAAGGAAAGAAGAGCAGACAACAGAAAGGAAGCGGTAAGATGCGGGAAGACGGTTCGGAGAAGAAAGGAGAATTCCTCCTTCGCTCGCCTCTCTTACTTCCTTGCCCTTTGCCTTCTTCCTCTTCTCTTACCCTATTCATCTTCATAAGGAAGGAGAAATGAAAGAAACGGAGAGTTCAGGGCATGCAAAGGGCACTCTTCTCATCACCTCATCCATCCTCCTTTTCATTGTTCTCTCCAGATCCCTCTTTCTCCCTCCCTCCCTTCCCGTCTACTTCTGCACATTCCCTTTTCCGCTTCTCTCCGCCTATTATGTTCGCTTGGAAAGAATCGCTTGCCCCCTATTCCTTCTCCTCCTGCCTTTCCTGCCTCTCGTCGAAGAAGGACAATTCACAAGGAAGAAGACAAGGGAGTAAGAGAAAGACAACAGAAGCTGAGAGACAATCCGAGAAGGGCAGAAGAAGAACGAGAGCCATAAGGAAACAAACACAGAAACAAAGAGAGAAAGTAAGAGAGAAAGACCAGCAAAAACAGAGGCAGAGAGTGAGAGAGAGGAGGGGAGGGGAAGCGATGCAGAAAGCAGTCGAAAGTGCCTTGCTTGTCCTATCTCACCGTCCCATTGGTAAAAAACCAGGAAGAGGTTGTGGAGGAAGACAAGGAAGAAGTGTTCTCGTCTTCACTCACCTTGTGCCCTTCCTCTCCCACCGCTCGCCGCTCGACAGAAAGAAGAGAGTTGCGGAGAGGGCGAGAGAGAGCTTCAAGCCCAGCAGAGGAAGAAGAGAGAGGAAGATACGAGAAGTGTGGAGGAAGTGGCCAAAAGAAATGCTACGTAATGAAAGAGGGGAAACCAGTTTCTCCTCTGCTCTTCCTCTTTTCTCTCTTATTCTTCTCTTCGCGCAGGGCATGCATGGAGCCAGGAAAGGGAAGGGGTCAAAGCAGATGAGAGAAAGTAATGGAGAGAGCTGTTCTTCGTCCCTCTGACCTCCTCCTCTCATTTTACTCATATCAGAAGGGTCTGGAAAGGAGTGAAAGGTAGGGCATGGACTGAAGCGCGGGAATAGGTGAAAGTGGATAAGAAACAATGTTAGACAGCTTGCCGAAAGCGGCCAGCTCGCAGCTTGCCTGCGGCCTGGCCTGCTGAGCCTGGTGGGCTTTTGAAGGTGGGCAAGGGCCTGCTGAGATCCGCGGCCAGCACGCCAGGCTTGCTTTGAGGCAGGGCCAGCTGGGGAGCCTGGCCGGGCTGAGTGGGTTGGGTGAGTGAGTGGGGAGAGGGTGGAGAGGAACAGGGAGAAGAGGGTGGGTGGAGAGAGCCCTTTCTCTCTCCTGGAATCTCCACCCTCCCCCACCCTCCCTTCTCTCCTTCTCAAATATCCCCCTAAGGTTTTGTGAAAACTCAGATCCCAAAACCACAGATCTTAAGGGGTGTCCCCAAAAGGTTTTCATGACAAGTAAGTTCAAAAATCACAAATCGCAAGGGGTGTGCCCCTCTCAGGCTTTGTAAGAACCCAGAGCCAAAAATCACACATCGCAAGGAGCGTCCCTCTAAACGCGTTTGTAAATGATCCACCCTGTCCCTCTCACTTGCCTCCTACCTCCCCCACTCCTAACTCATTCCTTCCCTTCCCATCTCATGTCTCCTCACCTCCCATCACTTTTTCTCCCATCCACTCATCTTCTTATCATCTTCTTATCACATTCATCACTTTTTAATTTGTCTTATGGGGTCTATAGTCTATAGAGCCCTGATGAATTCCCTGGCCGTCTTGTGTTTAAGGTCTATGGTTGAGTTGTGCTCCTCGCATGCGCGAATTCGATAGCCCTGAAGGCTTATGGAGCAGAGCTCCTCAGAGTTGACCACGACTAGATGATCACGACTTGTCAGGGCATGTCAGAGTGATCTATCTACAGGCATGAAGCTTGTTGTGCCGTGCTAAAAAGGGAGATTCGTCCGTCAGTGAGCCATGGCTGTGCCCTTCTGTTTCTGAGTTGGAACAATACGAAGAAGATTAACATGGCGTCCTCAGCTGACAACGAGAATCCGAATGTATTCGACTTGCCCCAGCAAGAACAGGTTATGAGTCGCCCAAACGTGGCCAGCGCAACTCCGGTTGCGAAGGGCTCTGGGCAAGCTCAGGTGATGATGAATGGTATATCTGGGCCAACTACCTCATCGAATATGGATGGTGAGACAGTGAACCCAGGTTCAGCAGGAGGCAGTCAGCCTCAAGTTCTCCCTAGGAGCCATCCTCCAAGTGGAGAATCTGAGCTTGTTTCTGAAGCCGTACAAGGTGCACAGGGATCCGGAACTTATAGATCTGTTGAACAGGTCATAAGAACCAGAGTGATGGTTTCCGACCCCCAAGAGCACCGTGAGAGCAGTCGGAGTAAGACTGCTGGGTTTTTCAGTGGAATGATGAAGGCCGTCCAAGCGATCCCAACTGCAGTGGAGGGTATTGTCAATGGTGGCAATCAATCTGTGATGGAAGGATCGCCAGCTGCGAATGACGCAGTTGAGTATGCCTCAGTGAGGTCGTCTGCAAGCCTGGATGGTCGGAGAGACCCTCCTCTGGAAGCCAATGTCCCGACGACACCCTTGTTTGATGAGCGAGTGTTGAGCAGACTGAACCAGATGCCTGCAGCAGCTCCACATTTGTATGCAACGGATGTTGGAGTAGCAGACCAACCTCGCCCTTCTTCGGTATCGTCAAGTGACATCCAAGCGGAAGTAAGACGCCAACTGGGAGAAATGATGGCTCTTCATGAAGATGAGAGCAAGCGGCTTCGAGCCCAGGTTGAGAGGCTTGCGGCAGAGAATAGGAGTCTCCGACAACGTGTAGATGTAGGAGATCAGTCGGGTTTGTACAGCTCGCGGAACCCGGTGAATCCGAGAGGTTTTCCTGGTTTCGGGTGGTTGGGAAAGGGAATAGGTTCTATGATTGGTATGGGTACTTCGTCGAATACTGGCCCTAATGTGGACTTTCGGGCCTCTGGTCAAAGCCTCGCGGATCCTAGGGCCCAATCTTTCTCACGCTCTCTGGATTTGGGAGCTACCTTCCAGGTACCTGGGCATCCAAGGTTTGATGTTGGGAATGCCACGCAGAACTTCCCTCAGAGCCCTCTGCAAGGTCACGAAGTTCCGGTAAATCCCGGTGCCCCTCGTCCCTACGAAGCTGCACAGCTAGGGAATGGTAGCCTCCTAGGACCTAATTCCGCCTCCCTCCCTCTAGTAGAAGCCAATCCGAGTCCTGCCGTGGGAAAGCCCATAATGCCTCTTCCTCTAGGACCCAAACAGCTGTCCCATCCCACGACCGCACAGGTTTATGATGTCAACGGCGCGAGTGCCGGCCAAGGTACCAATACCGCAGGGCCACCTGGGTTGTCAGCAATCACAGCGCAGACTGTGGAGCCTTCAGGACCGAGGGGTGACTCACCCACGGTTCCCCTTGCGGTTGACCCTAATGGTTTAGACCCCCTTAGTGTGGTTCTTACCGGAATGGCCCAGCTACAGGGTATGATGACGGAGATGGCAAACTCGCCTAAACAGGTAGAGAAACCAGAGATAATCAAGCCTGGTGTGAACTCCTTGCCTGAGCTACCCGTTGCAGGACCTGAGAGTTGCTTGCTGTTTTCGGTCTGGATACATAACTCCAAGCCACCCTTGTCAGACGTTTCGGACTCTAGTGAAGAGCTGTGGGAGTGTACGTTGAACGAAGCGAACCTTTGGTATGCCGCGTATCTTAAACTTGACCCCTTGAGTCGGTTGGTTTCGGTACCTAAGCCATCAGAGCACTTGATGCGGCCTAAGTGGAGTAGGGTTTCAAGGCGCATTGAGACAATGGTGTTAGCAGCAATGCCGGCTTCGGTACGTGAAGAAGTGAGTGCCGCTCGAGTTAGTGGATTGCTGGCCTTGGTTTGCAGATTGTTCGTAATTTACGCACCCGGCTCACTCAGTGAGAGAGAACTTGGTTTGAAGCATATCCAGGACCCACCACCAGGGTCTAACATTGCAGACACCGTGGATGGACTGCGAAAGTGGAGAAGGTGGTGCCTGCGTATGACGGAGCTTGGGGGCACTTTGCCCGACCCGTCACTCCAGATCCGAGCGCTTACGAAGCTGACCAAGGCGGTTCTCAACGCGCAGCCGGAGATTGCATTTAGGGTAAACCTTTCGAGGCACGCCCTTCAGGTTGATGTGAATCCAGACAACGATAAAGTGACTAAGTTGCATGCTCAGTTGTTAAGTGAACTTGAGGCCGTGAACCACAGGTCTTCGAAGGAGAGGGATCAAGAGAAGGATAAGCCTAAGGATACACAGCCGTCTCCAGCTCCTAAGATAAAGGGTGTCGAGACTAATGTTACTGCCAATCCACCCCCGCCTCCGAAGCCTGGCAAACCTCCAAAGGGTTCACCTCCCGCGAAGAGCTCACCATCAGGTCAGCCCAATCAGGGAAGTGCTGCTAGTGGACAAGGTTCCCGGCCCCCTTGCAGTTTTTACTTGAGCCATGCAGGATGTAAGAAGGGTGCGGACTGCACCTACACTCATGATTGGAACTCGATCCCGGCCTCAGATCGTCCCCAAAGGTGTAAGAACTGCGGGGGAAAGGGCCACAGGGTTGCAGAGTGCAAGGCTGGGCTGAAGCCAGATGACTCGAAGGGTCAGGGTAAGGGTGCAGCAAAGGGGCAGCCAGGCCCCAAACCGTCACAGGTTCCGCCACCGAACCCGTCGGCAGCATCCAATAGTAACATGACTAATCAACAGATAAAGTCAATGTTAGCTGATGCGGCTATGATCCTCCAACAGACAATGCCACAGCAAACCTCGCAACAGCAGCCTTCTTCCAATGTCCCTACGAGTGGTGCGACTGAGAACTCCCAGCCCCAGGTAGCCCAAGGCACTCCGGTCACCTTGGCATCACTGAGTGCTCAACTGGAGAGTATTAGGACCATGACCAGGGAGCATGAAATCAGGATGTTTTCTATTGGGGAGATCCAAGCCCCCAATCCTTTAGAGAGGGCCGAAGCGCTGTTGGACAGCGGTGCTACGCACGCAGTGGTTCCTTTCCGTAAGGGACTCGGTGACTTAGAGCGTGTTCCAGTTACCCTTGCAGGGGACTCGAAGGATGAGTGGCTGCGCACATCGGGAGGCACATTGGTCGTCCCCCCGTCAAGCGTTGAGGGCCAACCTCCTCCGCAGACAATCCTGCCGCTTGGAGCCCTGGTACAGACCTTGGGTTGTACGATTAGTTGGAGTAAAAGAAAGGGGTTGAAGGTGTTCCACCCCACGATGGGACTCTTGAGAACGGGCGTTTCGAGAAATTCATGCCCACATGTGCAGGAGTGTCAGGCCATTGAGCTGATCCGCCAACTTGAGGAATCAAGGCTAAAGGAACTGGAGTCTCAGGTTCAGAACCTTGAGTGTAAACTTAAGGAAGTTGGGGAGCCCTTGGATCCGAATCAAGCTGTGAAGGCAATGATAAGTTCGGGTACCAGGACCAATGTGTTGAGGGCCCTGATGTCACAGCCCTATCTGAAGGATGTTCCAGATAGTGTTAAGGCCCTCCTCGCAGAAGAGTTGCCATCTATGGACGAAAGGGGTGGTAAGGAAGCACTAAAGGGCCTTCCCCTTAACCGCTCTAGGAGACGCGTCCTCTTGAACTCTCGCCGCTGGGTGGTGCACTTGTGCTCAGGGCCATCCGTTCCAGGTGACCCAATACATCAGTGGGCCAGAAATAATGAGTGTGAGGTCCTGAGGGTAGATGTTCGAACTTCCGGTGGACAAGCCTGGGATTTGCTGTCTTCTCAGGGTGCCTGGAGGGCTGTCCTTTGGGGTGCCGCATCAGGAAGGGTAGTCGCGGTGCTGTCGTCTCCTCCCCTCTCCGCATGGACCACCAAGGAACCGTCAGCACCCATCAAGGAGTTGAGTGCTGAAGGTAATGGCCTCTCTGTATCAAGACCTGGGGACCCTAGGACTCCTAGGTCACTGGCGCTGTTTGTCCAGGACATGTTCATCTGGACGGTGGCTTCAATTGCAAAGGGTTGCGGTGTACCTTATTTGAAGGAGGCATGGATTCCCACGGAGGGTATTCACACCCAACAAGCTGACCCTTTCAGGTCAAAGGTATGGATGTCCTTTGAAAAGTGGTCAGGGATCAGAACCGTTTCTTGTCAATTGCCTGAGAGTGGTTGTTGTGAAGCAAGGAAATGCATTGCGACCAACTTGATTTGGGAATTTGACAACAGTTTTGATCCTGTGCGCAAGGATGAAGGTGGAGTCCGAACTTGGACTCATGCCATGCGAGCTCAGGTTGTTCGCTCCCTTGAAGGACGGAGGAGAGTTCAGTCCTGTGAGATCCTGGACGAGATCATATCTAAGGGTCTTCGGGGAACTAGGGAAGTGACACATGTTGATGATGAGGAAGAAAGGTTGTTGCGAGCCTTTGAGGAGGAGAGTGTAGTCTCTTCATCTGAGGAGGAGCAGGAGGAGGACCAGCCTCGAGTTGTGTCAGAGGAGTTCCAAGCTGCATGTGCGCTCAAGCCGTCAGATCTGGCAGGATGGAAGGCCCATCTCGAGAACGGCCATTTGCCGTTCAGGAGGGATTGCCGGAGATGCATAGAGGGTGCAGGCTTAGGTATCCAACACAGAAGAATAAGGTTTCCTCAAAGTTACTCCCTCTCAGTAGACCTGTTTGGCCCGTTGTCTCCGAAGGAGCAGGGCCGAACCGAAGGCTCAGTGTCCGGGAATCCTCATGTCAAATACGGCCTAGTCGGAGCGTTTAGAGTTCCTCGCGTGGCCTTGCCAGGATCCCTGCCTAAGTCCGATCCCACCGCCACCTCGGACCTCTACGGTTTAGGCCCCCAATCTCTAGTGCCGGATGAGTTGGGGGATTATGAACCTTCTGTCGCGGGGCGAGAACCTCAGGAGGAATTTCCCGACTTGTGGGATCTAGATGAGGACTGGAGGGATAATGAGGAGGACTTGCAAGAACAGTTGCTCTCGTCTTCAATATATGCAGTGGATGGAGTTGAGTGCGTTGAACCAGCCTCTGGATCCTCTGGTTTCGGCCAACCGACTGGCCAAGCAGAGGGGTCTCCGTGTCTTGAGGATTGGGATGAAGTAATTCCTGAGGATAAGGTTGAGTTTGAAAGGATGGTTGAGGAACTCAGCCAACCTACAGAGCAGGTCGTCCTTAGGTACTTCGTTGAGCTTAGGTCAAAGTCCGGAGCAGATGTTGCGGACGCGGTTCAAAGGATGGTTCTTGAGATTAACAAGTTGTACCCGGTGCGGATTCTGCATTGCGATTTGGGCACAGAATTCTTGTCTACGAAACTATCCCACTGGCTGTCCAGCAACTCGATTAGACTACAGCACTCCCTGCCGGCTGATAAGCAAGCCAATGGACTGGCAGAGCGTACGGTTGCCTGGGTAAAGTCAAGATCTAGGACCCTGATTGGTTCCTCAGGAGTTGATGTGCAGTATTGGCCTCTAGCTGCACGATGGGCCGTGGAGTCCCATAACAGGATCCTGTTAGGAAAAACCAGGCTCCCAATGTTTGGTAATAACGTCCTCCACAGGTTGAAGAAGCCCAGAGGTGGCCTCAATGACTTGATGTCAAGATGGGTGATGGTTAGGTATATGTGTCCTCACTCCGTGATCCCTGAGGGTCATGTGCTGCTGACACCAGAAGGGAACCTGGTTGCATCCAAGGGTTTCCGAGCCAACACCGTTGACCCAGAGGCCATCCCTGGGGTGACTCCTGCCACTCTCCAGGACCTGCAAGTTGAGCATGAAGATGGAGCAGGTGTTGACACTGCTGTGCCGTCTCGTAGGCTCCGTGCAAAGACGGCTGTGAGGTTTCTGGAGGTTAGTTGCGGATCGGCAATCGAGACCAGAGCTTATGAAGCCTTGATGTCACAAGACTTCTCCGATGAAACTTTCCGAACCCTCTCAACATGGTGCGTGGAAGGAGGGAATCATGTGCAGGACCGAAGAGGTGACTTTAACGGTCGAGCAGTGTTTGGTGCATTTTGTCATGGCGGGAATAGAGGGGTTACTAAGTTTGCTTTGAAGTACCCATGGTTAACTCAGTTCCTGAATCATTATATGAGGTTCAAACTGCAGACGAAGGGTGCTCCCAATGAGCAAGCTTGGGCATCTCTCATGATTACTCCGGCTGTGAACGTTGAAATGCATCGAGACTTCCGCAATGAGTGGGGTTCTAAGAACAGTGTTGTCTGCATTCCTGGCCCTGTGGACTTGTGGGTTGATCAGTCCGAAGATAAAAGGGTCATACCGCTGGAGCCCCATTGGAATGATGGTGGGACTCGTTCTATGCTTGGTGCACCGATTACCTTCGATCCCAGGAGGAGACACGCTGTGCGTAAGTCTCCAGACTTACTCCTAGTTGCGTATACCCCGCTGGGTTCAGGCAAGCTCCTAGACTCAGATAGAGTTTACCTTGAGGCACTAGGGTTTTTTGGAGTTTCGAGCACCGATCCTAAGGCAGAGGTTAGGGTTGTCTCCGCATCTGGCAGAGGTCAAGGCTTGCAAGGCGAGGAGGAACCTGACCAGGAGGTGCAAACAGACCTGATGTCTGATCTTCAAGAGGACAGCGTTGCACAGGTAGTCGGTTGGGATCCAGCAGGAAGTAACTCAACTAACGTTCCACAGTTGAATCTTGAAGAGCGAGATTTGTATGAGTTTTTTGATGAAAGAGAAGTCAGCCGCGCTACCGCAAGGATGTTGGAGTACATGGGTGTTGAGTCACCAGCTGATTTGGCGTTTTTGTACTTCGAGGATCTGGTTGAGTTTGGAGTATCTCCCGAGGAGGCCCAGCGTGCAATGAGGGGAATTCACCCCTTAGGTACAAGAAGGCCTGATAATCCCACTCTGTGTGCACTTCGGACAGGAGAAGTAAGGCTCTATGACCGTAGCCAGAGGCAGATTCCTTGGGTGTTCCAAAATCGAACGCTTGATCAGCAGGCACCTGGTCCTCCAGTTCAAGGGTTGGGTATTAATTTGCCCCAAGGACCTGATGTGGTACTGCGTGACAATAGGGATTGGTTGGAGATCGAAGAGGAACGGAGAGATGATGTTGAGGAACTACGTCCCTCTGAGATCTGTGTCCCAGTTCTCCCCGCAGAACCGTCCCAGTCGCAGGTCATCCCTGAAATTCCTAGTGGGTCTAATGATGTAGGCCCTTTCCCCTCTTTAGGGCATGCCAATTGGACGGAGGAGCAAGCTGAAATGATTCGTCTGCAGAACATATGGGATTATGAGTCTGAAGATGAGTGGAATCTCAGTGTGCAGGAGGCAATGATGAGCATGTCCAACTGCAATCCCGAGGTTCAGGTCTCTGGTCAGAGTTTAGAATGTTCTGATGATGCCGCTGAGATCTCAGTTCTCCCGGCAGAATCGTCCCAGTCGCAGGTCCAAAATGATTATGTATGCAAGGCTATCAGGTCCCCTACAGTTGAGGTTGCCAGTGAAGGTCCAGAGGTGAGCGCCATAGGTGTGCCGACGTGGAATCCGACCAGTGCATTGGACCATGGTACCAGAGTGCGTGACACCGGTCCTAATCTTGGAGCCTCAGTTCAGAAGGTTGACGACACTAGCTACACGAAGGATGTGGAAGGTATTTTGAGCTCGTTGTCTTCTGGCTTGAGGGTTGTGCACAATGTCTCTCCGAGTGAGGTTCGCCTTCACTTAGAAAGGTGGAAGGATGCCGCACAGACAGAGGTTGCGGCACTGGAGACTATGGGAGCAATTCGAAGGCTAAGGGGCCAGGAGGCTCAACGTGAACTGAATGTTCCGGGCACTCAAGTGTTGCCAGCGAAGACTGTCTTTACTGTGAAGCCAGGGTCAGCCGAGAAGTGGTTTCGCCGTAAATGTAGGGTAGTGGGTTGTGGCAATTTTGAAGTGAAAGAGCCCGGTCTCGATGTCTATGCAGGAGGCATTCCTGCGGACGTACTCCGGACGTCCCTTATAGAGTCAGGTTCAAAGGGCTATCATGCCTTTATTACCGATGTGCGTAATGCTTTCCTTCTCGCCCCAATACCAATTAAAGAAAAGGTTCGCATCCTCCTAAAGCCCCCGCGTGTTCTGTGTGATATGGGAATCACCAGTCCTGATGAGTACTGGGCGGTCGACAAGGCCATGTACGGACTTCGGCAGAGCCCACGTTGGTGGGGAAACTTTAGGGACGATGTGTTGAGAGAAGCTCGTTGGAGTTGTACTGGGAGGCAGATGCGTCTGACGCAGTGCGAAGTTGAGCCTAACCTCTGGACGATTGAGGACCTCTATGGACAGAAGTTTGGGTTCGTGATTGTCTATGTGGATGATATCTTAATACTGTCTGATAGGGCTCATGCTGATGCTCTACACTCGCATATCACCTCTCAGTGGGAATGTACACCCCTACAGGAGGCGACAGAAAGTGATCCAGTGACGTTTCTTGGTGTTGATATCCAAATGGCGAGGGATGCAAAGGGAACCCTGGGTTTCCAGCTGAGTCAGACTGGCTACATCGATGAGTTGCTGCGGACCTACAGCTTGAATCCTAAAAGGAAGGTTTGTCCTCTTCCGAGAGAATGGGTGAAGGACCTTCCTGAACCGGAGCAGTATGAGCCGGAAACGCTGAGGAAGGCTCAGCGCATTACTGGAGAGCTGCTATGGATCACACAGAGGACGAGGGTCGACTTGGCGTATGCAGTGAGCCTTATGAGTTCGTGGAGCACAAGAGCACCTTCAGCTGTCGTGAAGATTGGAATTCGTCTACTGGAGTATATTGGTTGGACCAAGGATTACAAGCTTTCCTTAATTCCTGATCTGTCACAAGACCGCCGTGTTGTGGTGTATACGGATGCGTCGTTTGCACCTTATGGAGGACTGTCTGTGACCGGTGTTTTGATCATGTACCTTGGTAGGGTAATCCTATGGAAAGGAAAACGACAGTCGATGATAACTTTAAGCACTGCGGAGTCTGAGTTGATCTCAGCCGTTGAAGGAACGGTCTTGGGACAGAGCACTCAGGCCCTAATTAGAACCTTAACCCCCAGTCTAGGGCCAATGTTGTTACGGGTTGATAACCTTGCTGCAATTGCCTTAAGCGAAGGGAATGGAAGTGCGAGAACTCGCCATTTAAGGGTGCGGGGAAACTATCTTAAGGACCTTCAGGATAAGCGTGAGCTTGATCTTGAGCATTGCCCAGGTGATGTGCAACTTGCAGACGGTTTAACCAAAGTGCTTCCAGGCCCCAGACATAACTACCTTAGTGGTTTACTTGGTTTAGGCCCCACCACTGTAGACACCCAGGTAGCTGCAGTCACCGCCCCAGTTACAGGTTCAGTAGAGCCTGAAAATGCGAGGGCAGCAGTGGCGTTGTTTGTGTTGACGTTGATGATGCAGATGACTGAAACTGGAGCAGCAGAGCCGGTGCCTTATGAGCATGAGCCGATTGGACCAGAACTCTCGCTTCTTGTGGTTCTCTTGGCATTGTCGGTTCTTTGCATTTGGGAATCTGGCAAACATTGCTTGAGGACATGTTGGCTAAGTCCCAGAGTGAATATGATTAGGGGCCCAGATGATGACGAGGTTGATGGTGACCGGAGTCGCAGGGGAAGGCGTCAGGAGGCGGTTAGAAGGGCTATAGAAAGGGAAGTTGAGGATTTCGGAATTCGCAGGCGACATACGGGTGCTGCGATGCAGGGTGATGAGAGTGCCGGTGCTATGCCGTATGTACACGTTCAGGTTGATGCGCGTTCGGCCGGCCAGCATTCCTTCCCTAGTCAGCATGACCCGCCAAGTGAGCAACCGTCAAGCTCCTCATCTGGTATTCCTCATACCAGGTTGACTGGATTCCCAGAGCAAGCCTCAGCCCAGGGCCTACCTCTACCTACCTTTGGACTTCATTCCACACCAACCATTGGTGTTTCCCAACCATCACCCGGTGGACTTCCCTATCCAAGGGCCCAAGCCTCGGATTCCACGGCTTCTGGCAGTGGACTTGGACTTCTTAAGGCGAAGAAGGTTGGGTTAGATTTACCGGGTACACGCGAAATGAGTACTCAGACTGACCCCTTAGGGGGTTTAGCGCACTCAGAAATGTGTGAACTAGAGTTGATTACCTCTACAAGCCGTTCTCCTGGAGCAGTTCACATATTTCCGGATTGTCATTCGATTAGAGGTGTGAATACCAATCGCAGGCAGTTTTGTAGGTACTGTTTGCAAAGGACAATCCGGCCGAGTGCAGGAAGGTGAGCTTCCATCTTTGAAAGATGATGCGCTCAAGGAGGAGTGATGAATTCCCTGGCCGTCTTGTGTTTAAGGTCTATGGTTGAGTTGTGCTCCTCGCATGCGCGAATTCGATAGCCCTGAAGGCTTATGGAGCAGAGCTCCTCAGAGTTGACCACGACTAGATGATCACGACTTGTCAGGGCATGTCAGAGTGATCTATCTACAGGCATGAAGCTTGTTGTGCCGTGCTAAAAAGGGAGATTCGTCCGTCAGTGAGCCATGGCTGTGCCCTTCTGTTTCTGAGTTGGAACAATACGAAGAAGATTAACATGGCGTCCTCAGCTGACAACGAGAATCCGAATGTATTCGACTTGCCCCAGCAAGAACAAGCCCATATAGAAAAGCTTCATAGATATGTAAACCTTACAGATCCTCGAGATAAAGAATTTGTAGGAACCGCTTATGTTTCCCACAAATGGAATCCTTTATAAAAATCTTTGAAAGATCGATTATATGGAGCCCTCATACACAGTCTTTACATACTCCTTATAGAAATCTATAGATCCTCTGTACAGATCCCTGATATGGAACCCTTGGTAGAAAACCCTTAGACTATACAATCCAAAGAACGCACCCACCCTATGCTGCCACCCGGCACGACCTTAGTGCGGTTTATAGGATAGTCAACCTCCTGGCCCCTAAGCGTCGTAGGGATCCGGTTCGTATTCGAGGCATGCAAGGCGAGCTGCTCAGCCCGCAGGCGGAATTCGACGAAATTTTCGAATACTTCCAGGACGCCTTCAGCAGTGCTCAAAACTATCAACTGCAAGATCAGCAAGTCATGCACTTTGACAGTAGAGGGAGTGGAGGTGGGGGAGAGTGAGGAAGGTGAGGGGAGGGGGTAGTGGGAGGGATAGGGAGAGGGAGGGAGGGGTATGGGAGGAGGACGAGGGATGAGGAGGAGGAAGATAGTGAAGATGATGAGGTGGATGATAAAGAGAGGGGTGGGGTGGAGTGAGGTGTGTGGTGGGATGGGACGGGGTGGGTGGGCACGGCTGCCTGCTTCCGCACGCCCAGCCTTCCCTGCCCGAGCCGCGACCGAGCAGAAAGCATGTAAATATCGCGCTATAACAAGGGCTAGGGATTTCACACATCTGCTGGCAAAATCTGGCTGAAGTGACCTGTGGTCCAGCAAAACACCTGTAAATACCGCATGAAAACAAGGGCTAGGGATTTCACACATCTGCTGGCAAAATCTGGCGGAAGTGACCTGTGCTCGAACAAAACACATGTAAATACCGCGTGAAGACAAGGACTAGGGATTTCACACATCTGCTGGCAAAATCTGGCGGAAGTGACCTGTGGTCCAGCAAAACACCTGTAAGTACCACTTGAAAACAAGGGCTAGGGATTTCACACATCTGCTGGCAAAATCTGGCGGAAGTGACCTGTGCTCGAACAAAACACATGTAAATACCGCGTGAAGACAAGGACTAGGGATTTCCCACATCTGTTGGCAAAATCTGGCGGAAGTGACCTGTGATCCAGCAAAACACCTGTAAATACCGCGCTAAAACAGGGGCTACGGATTTCACACATCTGCTGGCAAAATCTGGCGGAAGTGACCTGTGCCCGAACAAAACACATGTAAATACCGCGTGAAAACAAGGACTAGGGATTTCACACATCTGCTGGCAAAATCTGGCGGAAGTGACCTGTGATCCAGCAAAACACCTGTAAATACCGCGCTAAAACAGGGGCCAGGGATTTCACACATCTGCTGGCAAAATCTGGCGGAAGTGACCTGTGGTCCACCAAAACACCTGTAACTCAGATCCGAAAACCATAGATCGCAAGGGGTGTCACCCTAAGGGTTTTTGTAATAAATATGTTTCAAAAACACAAATCGCAAGGGGTGTCCCCCTAATTAATTAAGGTTTTGTAAGAACTCCATTACTAGAATCACAGATCGCAATGAGTGTCCCCCTAAAGGCTTTTTCAACAAATAGGTTCCAAAATCACAAATCGCAAGGGGTGTCACCGCAAGGCAGGGTGGGAGAAGCGGGGGAGAGGCATGGGGTTAAGGGCAGGGGGCTGGGGCCCTTTTTCGGGCTTGGGCTGGGGTTGGGCAGGGCTGGTAAGCTTGGAATTCGTGGCTGCGGCTGGGCCACTGGGGCTCGGGTTGGGCAGGGCTGTTGGCTGAAATTTTGGGGGCGGCTGGAGCTGGGTGGGGCAGGGGGGGTGGAGGCGGGCTGGGGGGGGATTGTGGGGGTCGGGGTTGGGGCTGGGGCTGAGGGCTGGGGCTGGGGGCTGGAACTGGGGGCTCGCGGATTATACAGGCTTTCTGCTCGATCAGAGATCACTTCCGCCAGATTTTGCCAGCAGATGTGTGAAATCCTTAGCCTTGGTTTTGACGCGGTATTTCAAGCTTTCTGCGTGATCACCGATCACTTCCGTCAGATTTTGCCAGCGGATGTGTGAAATCCCGAGCCCTTGTTTTAACGTTTCTGCGCGATCACCGATCACTTCCGCCAGATTTTACCAGCGGATGTGTGAAATCCCTAGCCCTTGTTTTAACGCGGTATTTACAGGCTTTCTGCTCGATCACGGATCACTTCCGCCAGATTTTACCAGCGCATGTGTGAAATCCCTAGCCCTTGTTTTGCCACGGAAAGCTGCTAAACCCGTGCTCGGTTTTAGTGTGGTATTTACAGCACTTTGACAAGGTCGCAGCCCGATCGCAACAAATTTTGTCACACAAAGTTGCTAAACCCCTGCTCGGTTTTAGTGTGGTATTTACAGCACGTCGACAAGGTCGCAGCCCGATCGCACCAAATTTTGTCACGCAAAGTTGCTAAACCTCTGCTCTTCAACTTAGCGCTTTTCGGATTCGGCTGGGGCGGCTCTTTCTTGGTGGCGGCTTCGGGCGGGCTGGGCCTTGTTCTGGAGTTCTGGAAAAGAGGGTTGGGGCTGGTGTGGGGTGGGAGTCTTAGCAAAGCTGGTGGTTGAGGCTCTGAGGGGAGCGCTGGGCTGGGGCTGCAGGCTGGGGCTGGGGAACTGGGCGGGAGGAGGCAGATGGGCAAGGCAAGGCACCGGAAAGCAGCCGCGGGTTTGGAGGGCAGGGGCAGGGGGTAGAGGGGGGGCAGAGGCAGGGGGCAGGGGGCAGGGGCAGAGAGGGAGAGCTGGCTGCGGGTGGGGGTGGAGGCTGGGACTGGGCTGGGGGGAGAGGGGCAAAGGCAGCGGGCAGGGAGAAGGAGAGCTGGCTGGGGCTGGGGGCGGCTGGGGCTGGGCTGGGGGTAGAGGGCGGGGAGGGAGAGCTGGCGGAGGCGGGCGGCTGGAGCTGCGGTAATTAAAGGGAAGGGGCAAGTAGGGGGCAGGGGCAGAGAGAAAGAGCTGGGGCTGGGGGTGGAGGCGGGTGGGGGGCGGGCGGCTGGGGCTGGGCTGCGAGCTGGCTGGGTCAGGGGGCTGGAGCTAGAGGCTGGGGGCTGGGTGGAGGCCACCGACACCTATTTAAATTTTTGAAAATCTTTAAAATCTTTAAAATCTGAAAAGCTTGGTTTTCAAAAATTAAAGATTTTAAAGATTTTAAAGATTTCAAAATTTTAAATATGTGTCGGTGGCCTGGAACCCAGACCTAACGATTTAAAAGTTTCAAAATCTTTAAAATCTGTAAAATCTGAAAAGCTTGGTTTTCAAAAATTAAAGATTTTAAAGATTTTAAAAGCCTTTAAAATCTTTAAAATCTTTAAAATCTGAAAAGCTTGGTTTTCAAAAATTAAAGATTTTAAAGATTCTTAAAATGTTAAATATGTGTCGGTGGCCTGGAACCCAGACCTAACGATTTAAAATTTTAAAAACCTTTAAAATCTTCAAAATCTGAAAAGCTTGGTTTTCAAAAATTAAAGATTTTAAAGATTTTAAAAGCTTTTAAAATCTTTAAAATCTGAAAAGCTTGGTTTTCAAAAATTAAAGATTTTAAAGATTTTAAAGATTTTTAAAATT